GGAGACACAGAAATCTATATAATGCTGTTACCAAGAAACAAGGATTGTTTCCTCCGCTATTTTAGGAAACAGTGAAACAAATGGAGCCTAGGACACACCAGGATTTCTATTTCCACCCTGTAAATGAGTGTTATTACCCAGAGGCAGTGTTTTCTAGTGGCACTCTGTAGCCAGACTCTATTCATGCCTGAATCAAAGGATGTGCTGGTCAAACCTGCCCACTCACATACTCCCATTATCCAGTTCTTTAAAGTGCCCTGTTGCAAGGTGCAAACTGTCTAGCCCCTCACAGCATGTGCCAAAGGACGTGGCAGCAAGTCCTCAGGAGAAGGTACCATTTACTCGGCATTACCTGTTGCACAGCCTAAGACAGGCTGGCCCTCAGCAGCTCCTCCGCTTCCTCTTTCAGTTGCTGCTGAAATTTCTCATCTTTATGAGCTGAAAGATATTTTTAAATAGAGTCTTTGCCACCTCCTTCTCCTCCTTTTTCCCTTTCATTTTCACCTGATAATGTACAGAATTCAGAATTGTATTGCAAAATTGCTTTTCTAAGCAAAAACTTTTCTCATGTTTTGATGGCATGTTGCCAAAGGGCCAAATTTGCAGTAGGTAACAGCCAGAAGAACAAATGATCTCTGATGCTGGATTCCTATAAACACGGAGAGTAGCAGCCAGCAGGCACCGTGTGATTGCTGGGGAGCTGGCACTGGGCAGCCCTGTCAAAAATCAGGAGCTGCTCTGCAGTCAGTCTCAAAGTGAGGGTGAATTCTGCACACCCCTCCAGAGGTGTTTTCTGATCCATACCCAGCATACTGCATAAATAAAGCAAATCATCTCAGGCTCATTAAAACAGCACCATCCAAGCTGGAATAGGGGTAGGAGCTACAGGAGGCAGTGCGTGACTGGCAGGGAGAAGCAGTGAGTGCCCCAGAGTCTGCACTGTCACTTTACTTCCAAATCTCATGTTCAGTGCAAATGACCTCACATTCTGCCAGGGGAGGTTTAGAGTGGATATTAAGGAAAAATTTCTTCACTGAAAGAATGGTCAAGCATTTGAACAGGTTGCCCAAGGATGTGATGGAATCACTATCACTGGAAGTGTTCAAAAGGTGTGTGGATGTAGCCCCTGGGGACATGATTCAGTGATGAACAGGGTGGTGTTGGGTTAATGGTTGGTCCTTTCTACCCTAACGATTCTGTCATACACCATGGCAGAAAGGAATCTCAGAGGAGGTTAATCAGCACAAGAGATGGGCCTCACTCTCTTTCCTCTTCTAGACGGTCCCTGCAACTCCCTGCCATCAGAGCACATAGATGTTACAAAGGTGCTAATTGTTTCCAGCTTTTATAAATATTCTGGTTTGGGCCTTTAACCAGGATTAGTAAAGAGTGTGGGTTTATTTGGTTTTCATGAAAATGCAAGCCTCCTTGAGGGAGATATTCTGTTAAGCTCTCCCAAATGGCTGCTTTTAAGCGGAGTTCAATCTTTCTGATGGTTTCTCCCAAGCATTGGGTCCTGCCAATGCTTGCTCGCATAGGCAGTGCCACAGCTCCCAGCGCCATATACACAGGAAGTCTCTTCCCAAAGCCAAAGCTTCTGCTTCATCTCTCCTTTTTTTACAGTCATTTCCACAAATTATAATCTACACTGATTTCCCCCATGTAATGGAAATAACTGGAGACAGATACAATCGCTACAGTAGCGATTTTTCTAATATCAGCAGGTTCTTCTCTTTTACACTGTTTAAAGTGGAAGCATAATTGAAACATTTCACAAAATACTTTGACTATTCTTCATCCAACTCTGCTTTCAATGCCTGAGGAGGTCACCTGGAATCTCCTTTACTCAGCTGCAGTGGATCCAGCTATAAGAGGTGGGAAGCATTACACCCTCGGCAGGGATTGGTGTTTGTGTATTTGCTGCTTCTTGTTTGTAGTGTAAACAGGCACAGACACAGAGGCGGAGTATTCCCATGTGGTGAGTATTGCCTCTTACTGGAATTTGCATGAGAGCAGGTAATGCAGGTACTTTGGATCTCATTTAGTAATTATTCTGGAAAGTGTTTTAGCAGATGCAATTAACTCATGATGCTGGGAACAAATATGTAGGGGCAGATTTTTAAAACCTCCTGAAGCCTGTTCCGAAGTGATAAGCTAGAAAGGACCAGTTTGCAGTTATGTTTCATCTTGAAAATGAACTATCCAACATTAGCCATCCTTTTAACACAAAGAGCCTTTGTTTTAAGCATCCTGAGAAAACAGCAATAAAAACCAATATAACATCAAAAATTACTTAGCTAATGCTCCTATTTATCTACATTTACCCTCTTGTGATGGGTAATTACACAAGCATCCACCATGAAATCATACCACTGGAAGTTAGGCACATATAATTTTCATAATCACTCCACTGCTTCCCTTCCTGCATGATGCCAGACAGACTGTCTTGCATTAAGATGCAAACAACTGCAAATGAGAGATGTTTTAGAAGAAGCTGCATACACCTCTCTGGACAAATAAGGCATTTGGAAAGAGAAAGCAAGAGGCCTGAGAATTTTTTGACCTGATTCTTTCCTTTACTCAGTAAAAAGCATGAATGTTGTAATTGTACATTCAAACACAGTCAAGTGTGGAAACTTGGCTGTGTGAGTTAAGGAAATAAAGTGTTGATCACATTGACTGTGATGTGTCCCTGCTTCTCTGGACCAGTAGAACTTCCAGATGAACTATACCTCAATATTCAGCCAGGCCTTTCAAAACATAACCAAGTTCAAAGTTCTCTAGGGAGCCAAATCTCACCCACTAAAGGATAAATATAATTCTGAAGGTTCTTAAAAAAAGAACATGCTTTTTTTGTTTTTTTTTTTTTGTGGTTGTATCTATTTTACATCAATTAATTAAAGGAATCTTTTCTGACAATCCATCAGAAAAGTCAATCTGTCTTTACAGTCAGATACTCAATGTCTGTGATGCTCCTACCAGCAAAAGTTATTTCTGTCATCCTCAGCTGCTTTCCTCTAGTGAATCCACCTCTGCAGAGTTACCTCAACAATCAGAGCAATCACCACAGAAAGAAAACCTTTCATAAAAAATGGTGCAATTTTCCTCTGATCATCTAAGAGAGCTTTGTTGCTATGTTGTCCAGGAGAGGGAAGACAGCTGCAGCTTCTGAACATCTGCCTGCTCAACTATGAGGGAGAGCATCTGCAGCGTCATGTTACAGATTTTTTTTTCCATTCTCCTATACAATAAATGACATCTCTTTCTTGAAAATCCCAAAGACTTCTGCTTTCTCTTCTGTTGTGTGATCACCTATAGGTAATATCATCATAGGCACTGATGAAATTTATTCAAATTTTTCTGCATTCACAGTTCACCCAACAGGACTCAGGACAAGGGTTTTGTTCTCATGGATGCTATAAAAATGGCATCAGTCAAAAGAAGGAAATGCAAAACTAAAAGGCAACTAAGAAACCAAGAGAACTTTGCTGTGGAAGAGACTTTTGAGACATCCCATCACTCTGGTGGTAGTTATCCTTGCATTAGAAATGTTAGGGGACAAATGGCACTAGCAGGTGCTGTATGACCTGTCCCCTAGCAAGGGATTGGCAGCACAACTACACATCTTGGCTGAGCAGGGTTATTTGCATCACAGCAGTGATATCATGGTTCTTCCAGTTGTTTGTCTGGGAAAAAATAAATAGGGAGGCATAAAATTAAATGATACTGAGAAAGATTGAGAGGGGCTGAAAAATCTCTTCCTAACTTCAGCTTGGACAGCTCCTTTCAGTGGAAAGCACATGGAAAACTGTTTGCGGGAACTTTACAATTTTGCTCTTCCCCACAGAGAGTCTGTCATGCTCAGGTCTTCCCACATTGCTCACAGGACAAGCATCATGGCAAGGTGATGTGCAAAATGCCACAGCTCTAGCAGATAAGGCTGATGGAAATGGAGAAAGACATTTTTCACTCTCTACACCAATTTTTCAGCCACTTCTCATGCCTTTTGGAAATGTAGGACTCAGAAGCTTTTCCAGAGTCATCTGCTACACTAAGCTTTTAATTAGAAGTAGGCAAGAAGCTCAGAAAGCCCAGCTGTTGTGAAAATGTTGGAACACATTGTAAGAAGCAGCGCCTATCTCCTCTCCCGCAAGCTATTCTCACAGCCCCATTACCATGAGCCAATGTTTATCTATTCTCCCTAAATATTTATTAACATGAATTAACAGGTGACAGGTATTTTGACATTTAAAAAAGAAGCACTGCTAATTGAGAAGAAAAAACACACCTTGAAAACACCCATCGACCATAAATACACAAAATACATGTAAATGAAGTCTCAATCAGATGTGAAAATCACCAAAAATTAAACCATTGAGTACACGATGCCTTCACTGACTCATCCCTAAGAGCAGCTCCTGAAGTCCTTAGCTTGCCCCAGGTAATCTTCATAGCAGTACACCACGATATCATGATATGTGTAATAATTAGTGACTTGGATGAAACGTATCAGCAGTACCACTTTTCGATTAAGACTTTTAGCTGCACTGAGGTGCAAGAACTGCTTGGTGGAAAAGCAATACTGCGAGCCTCAAGTCTGTGGGGATTTGTGCGGCTTAGGCTGCTGTGGGGACACAGTAATGTCTGTGTGGGGCTGTGGGGGCACAGCAGGGACATGGGTGTCCAGGGGGACATTGAAGACACAGCAGGGTCTGTGTGTGGTTGCGGACGTTCGGAGGGACAGTGCTGTGGGTACACCACGGGCACGACGGTGCCTGTGTGGGGCTGTGGGGACACGGAGAACACCGCGATGCCTGTGTGGGGCTGCGGGGACACGGAGAACACCGCGGTGCCTGTGTGGGGCTGCGGGGACACCGCGGTGCCTGTGCGGGGCTGTGGGGACACGGAGAACACCGCGGTGCCTGTGTGGGGCTGCGGGGACACCGCGGGCACACGCCCCGGCCGGGCCCTCACCCCGCACCGCCCCGACCCCCGCGGTCATGGCGGAGGCCTGGCTCCCACCGGGCATGCGCGGGGCCCGCTCGGCGCTCGCTCCCCTCGGCCGGCGCGTGCAGCACCGCGGCCAGCGCCCGCGCGCACGGGGCGGGGCGGGGCGGGCCGGGGCGGGGCCGAGCGGGGCGGGCCGGGGCGGGGGCGCGCGCGGGCGCGGCGGCGCGCGGAGCCGGGCACGGACACGGCTGCGCCGAGCGGAGCGCAGCCCAGCGTAGTCCAGAGCTCGCCCGGCCGAGCCCAGCCGTCGCTGCCGCGATGTTGGACCCGTCGTCCAGCGAGGAGGAGTCGG